CGTGCAGGGTCTGCTAACTGCTAACTCAGAGCTTGGACGGCATAGTAGATCCAACAGCCTGCAAGGTTTGGCGTTTGCTTCTGCGTTCAACCTGAGCTTGGGAGCCATCTGCAGAAGTGGCAGACGTTGGCGACATCAATCACCCTGAAACCTGTCGGGTTCGATGTTCGGAAGCTTTGAGCAGAACTTTGGGGGGCATCATATCCCTACCAGCTAGCAAAGCTTGACGTTTGGCGGGGTCCAGGCATCCTACAGAGCTTGACGCTTGGGCATGACTTCAACCTGAACCTGGGTGACATCTCACTGCTCACTGCTCAGCAACCCGCAGAGTCTGACCTTTTGTTTATGATTTCTCCATGTTGCATACCGTATTTTGTGACACTTGTTTTATCGGTGATGCACTCAATTTCACGAGACCTAGCAAATGACATGTCTATGATCCGCAGGCGTTCTTCAGAGTTGTAAAAGATTTTCATGGTAGCGGAGCTTGGGACAGCCCAAGCTTCGAGACACGACTGTGGGACACCCAAGGGGTTCCCCGTGTTTTCACGTCTTGGGGTTTTCCGGCACATTGCTTTGCGGAGTGCGTTCGGGGAGCCCAGGCTGTGAAAGAAATTCCTGGACCTTTGGGGATTTGTGTTTCGGTGAAATCTAGTAAGCGCGGCGGGTAGCTGCAGACACCGCCCTCTGAGCGGTCGCCATCTGTGTGAAGGACGGCCACCTGTGAGGGCCTTGCATTGCTTAAAGAGCGGCTGCATTCCTACTACGTAGAGCAGCTGTGTGAGCGTCCAAGGCCAGCCGGCCGTTCGGGAACTTCTTGGGACAATATTCTTAGCACCTATAGGGTAAGCTTTGAAAATCACCTTGAAAGTTTGGACACTATTGAATCTGTTTGGCATTTCGGGGAAAAGTGCTTAAAGAAGGAGCATTTAAAGGAAGCCTTCAGATACTTTGGTTTTGAGGACGTGTTCAACAGTGCTACACCGCAAGCCGTGCAAGCAGCGATTGTGTTTCCTGAGGAAGAGTGCGAGCGTGACATTGCATTTCAGGACCGGACATTAGGAGTGTTTGAGCAACCCTTGATACCAGGGAGTGCGTCGATTGATCTGCAAGATTCTTTCCAGTGTGCCTTGCAGCCTGCAGAAGAGCCGATTGATCTTGATTGATCAGTTCTGTCTGAACAATGGCAAGTACAGGTTTGGATGATGAGGATGATCCAGAACTTGCTGAGGGCCCCCATGCACCCCAAGGGCCTCAACCTTCCAGTAACCCGTTCAGCCCATCACGTGGCGGGGGACAGGCTGTGCCGATGATGACGATCAGTCAGGATGATCTGGTGTTGATGATGAGACAGATGATGGAGGCGACGACTGCGGCGAGCACCGCAGCGCAAGCAGCGCTGGCAGCAGCCAGCACACAACGCAAAGCAGGCTTAGGTGGAGGTGACATGGCCCGCTTGTTGCCGAAGCCAGATGTGTTTAAGCCTGCGTCGAGGGAAGCTGAGCACGGCGAATGGTCGTCGTGGCTGTGGAGCTTGAAGCAGTACTTGAGTGCTTTGGATCCAGCCTTCACTGATGAGATAAGCTTCATAGAGCGCAGTCCGACCAAGGACTTGACAAGTGAAGCTTATGCTAGTGCTGAGGCTGAGCAGAGGTCCAAGCAGCTGTTTGCATTGCTGTCGAGCTTAGTGAAGGGCCGAGGCCTTCAGCTGATCCAGAGGGTTCCAGTGCAGAACGGTTTTGAAGCATTGCGTCAGCTTGTGCAGCTTTACCAGCCTGCTTCGAAAACACGATCACTTGGAATCTTGAGTGCACTGACGAGCATGAGTCATTTTCGTGCAAGCGAGCCCCTGCTGCCGCAAGTCCTTGATATGGAAAGGATCATTGACGAGTACGAGCGCAGCAGTGGCAAGAAGCTCGACGATGATTTTAAGTCAAGCATTTTCTTGAGATCGGTGAGCAACAACATGAGGAACCATCTTGCAACGGTGTTGACTGAAGATGTGACGTATGATACCTTGAGGGAAACAGCCTTGCATTTTGAGCGCATGAGTACCAAGTGGGATTCTAAGAATCTTTTTGCAGGAGACAGTATGTTTTCCAAAAGCCGTGCGTCGAATGATGGTCCAGTGCCTATGGAAGTCGATGCGCTTCAGAAAATTGGCAAGAAAGGTGATAAAGGCAAGCATGGCAAAGGCGGCTACCAGCAGCCAGGGTTCCAGCAGCCCAAAGGGAAACGCGGCAAAGGTGACAAAGGCAAGCATGCCAAGGGTGATCAGCAGCCCAAAGGCAAAGGCGGCAAAGGTGACAAAGGCAAAGACAAGGGTGGCAAGACAGGCAAAGGCAACAGGCAGAATGTTGTTTGCCACTCGTGCGGCAGAAAGGGTCACTATCAGAATGAGTGCTGGTACCGTGTCCAGCAAGTGCAGAATGCAGGCAGTGATGCAGCCAGCACAGTTGCGGCCTAGCACCGCTGGTCCGTCTGCCTCGCAAGTTCAAGGTCCTAGTGCAGCCACTGCCAAGAATGTGAATCGTGTGCAGCTTGAGTCGTCTATCGAGATTGACATGACCGAGGAAGAGCTGTCCATCCAGTATTTTGACGTGCCTGCAGGTGTTCGAGCAGTCAAGTGTGCAGGTGCCGGCGAGGAAAGATGTGTGGGAGGCCATGCAGCCCAGGGTTTGTTGAGCTTTGGTGATCTTGTGAAGGTCCTAGCCCTTAACCCGCACGGGTACCCTAAGCTTCCCAATCTTCAGCCGGTGACCGCAGCTGTGTGCCATGATCTTGCTTGCGCAGACGAGGATGGAGAGTGGACAATGTGCCACGGCAAATCCCTTGATTTGCGATATGCTGCACCCGATAATGCTAGAGAGCCTTGCCCTGAAGAGTTGCCCGACCTTGCAGAGGCTATCGAGGCCTTAGATGCAGCCACAGCAGCCAGAAGTTTGTGTGGCGTGCAGCGTTCCAGCGGCGCGGCAGCGCACGCCGAGCCGGTTGACATAGAGGTTGTTGTGGACTCAGGGTCTGACGCTTCTTGCTTGCCGATGAGTTGGGGAACGATTGGGAAATCCGGCGGTGCTGACTCCCAGTGGTACCGCGATGCCCAAGGAAACCGCATTTCAGGCCGAGAGATGCGCACGGCCACGATTGAGATTGCTGGGGTGAAGTTCCGTGAGCATTGGTTGCTTTCAAGTGTTACCCAGCCTCTCTTTTGTGTTGGCAAGCTTATGAAACGAAACGGTTGGGACATCATCCATGATGCTGACAGGGTTCCGCACCTCACGAGCCCTGATGCTAGAGTTCGCGTCCCATTGTTTTACAAGAACTACAGCTTGCATGCAAAAGGTTTCATCCGAGGAGTCACGGCCTCCGAGGCCGATGGTCAGCCAGGCATAAGAGCACTTGAGGTTTCAGGCCCATGGCTTGAGCTGTCTGAGGAATTTCACGAAGTTGCTCCTCTTGTGTATGCCCGGCGGGACTTCAGCAATTGCTTTGTTGATTGTTCGGTGGCATTGTCCGTGCCCCACTTGAGCCTCGGAGTGCAGTACCGCACAACCCTTGTGCAGGACGGTTCAAGTTGGAATGTCATTGAGTTGAATCAGGATCTGTCTTTGCTTGAACAGCCTGAAGCTGAGTTTGAGCCGAAGCGAACGCGGCATGTGATTACCATTGCTTCTTGTGACAAGATCGATGTTGATGTGCTGTTCAATCAACCTGGAGCCGGCCCGCCAGAGGCCGAGCAGGATGCAAACATGTCTGATGCAGGGCTTCCCGAGATCCCTGCTGATTCCCTTGATGAGTTGCTTGAAGATGCGCCGGCCGGAGGGATTGGAGACGTCGACACGGGTGAATCTCCCATCGGTGCCGACGCAGGTGCAGCTGTAGACGAGTCAGAGCCCGCCAGAATCCACATCGTTGTTGATGGAGTTGAGCTGCATGAAGGTTGCAATCTTAAGACATTGCGTGCTGCGTGCAAAGCCCTAGGCATATAGGCCAGAGCGGCGGCAAAGCCACTGTGTTGTCGAGGATAGCAAGCCATCTTGACAAGCTTAAGTTGCTCGAGCGTCACCAAGTCCAGCATGATTCAATTGCTTTGCAAAGCGAGCCGCGTCAGCAAGCCCCTGTGGGAGCACCGACGCCCGAGCAAATCAGATTGCACTGCCTGAACCACATCCCTTACCAGCCGTGGTGCGAGCACTGCATCAAGTTTCAGGCCCGTGCTGACAAACACACAAAAGCCAGGCCCGAGACCAGACAGTGCAGCGTGTGTTCATTTGATTGCTGCTTCACTGAGAGGCCTGATGGTGAACGCGGGGAAAAGCTGATTTGCTTAATTGCCAAGGATAGCCACACCGGTGCATGTGCGGCGATCCCTACACCTGCCAAGGGAGGTTCGGTAGCTTTTCGGTTTCTAGTTGCCGAGCTTTGCAAGTTCATCAGTTTTTGCGGTCATTCCGAAGTCACCCTGCGATCTGACGGCGAGCCCACTTGCCGAGCGCTGCAACAGGGTGTAAAGGACTTTAGGGATAAGCTTAAGCTTGCTACGCATCTTGAGCAGGTTGAGAAGGACAGCCATGAGGGCAATCCAGCAGAGCAGGCAGTTGAGCAGCTCAGACAGTTGACCGGGACACTTTTATCCCAGGTCGAGCATGAAACGGGGCAGAAAGTTTCAACGATGTCCCCGATCCACGCGTGGGCATGGAAGCATGCAGCATGGTTGCACACCAGGTATGCGCGGACCGAAGCGCACAGCCCCTTCGAGATTATCACCGGCAGACCATACCTTGGCAAGCTAGTGAATTTCTGTGAAGTTGTGTATGCCAGGGTGAAGTCTTCGATCAGTCAAAGGAAAGGCCCGTTGGATCAAAATGATTTCGCTTGGAAAGCTTGGAATTTCAGATTTGCATTTTGGGGCTACCCAGGGAGGTTTTCTGATTTCCAGCAGGAGTGTGCGGAGGTTGCCCAAACAATTTGAGCCGAGTTTTCTTGAGTACGTTCACGACATGCCGTGGACACAAGCCTCGTTTCTTGCGGGGCAGTCAGGGCAGTCCAGGCTCCAGAAGTCGATTGCAGGCAAGAGTGAAGAAGCAACTGACCAAGCCAAGTTGCCAGAAGTTGTTGCAAATGATGGGCCAAGGCCCATGCTGCGTCCTGAGCCTCTTGTGCCAGACGACACTGCTTTGTCTGCATTTCTTCCGCCACCTCCGTTGCTGATTTCGCCAGAGCCTCCGACCCCTTCGCGTGTGAATCCTTCGCTTGGCCGAACTGCTGGGCCTGCCACACCGGCCGACATGCTTCCTGCATTGTCACCTGTTCCGGAGTCTCCAGCTCCGATGCTGGTTGAAGAGAGTGCAAGCGCTGGCGGGGATGCGCCAATACCACCTGCTGCTGCGAGCAGCAGCGATGGATCTGCTGCGACCGGCGAAATAGTTCGCCCAGCGCTTGTGCAGGCCGAGCCACCAGCCAGAAAGCGGCTGAGGCTAGATGCTGTTCAGACAGATGCCAGTGGCAATCAGTTGTTTCATCAAGATGAAGACGTTATCCTTGAAGGTGAGGTAGCCGAAGAATATCTTGAATGCACTGATGCAGCTGATTGGGTTGAGTATGAAAGTGAAGCCGAGCTTGAGGTACCATCTTGTTTGATTAGGCCATTTTCTGAAAGTGAACCAATTTGCAGCCCTGCAGAACTTGATGAAATAGATGCTGTAGCAGACGAATTTGAGTTTCAGCGGCTGTCCGGAATTGGGGTCATTAGTGAAGTGACTAATCGACTTGAAGGCCACAGGACGCTTACTACCAAAAGCGTGCGCACATGGAGGCCAAAGGTCTACAAAGGATCGAAGTTTGGCTGAGGCGTTCTCGCCTCGTGGCACGAGAGTATGCACACTTAGGTCCCGATAGGCCTGGGTTGTTTTGCCCGACAACGAACCAGATTATGCTGCGTGTGATTGCAGCGCTCTTCTTGAGACGCCGTGAGGAAGGCTGGTCGATGCTAGCGCTCGATGTGAGCGATGCTTTTCTCCAGTGCAGCCAGCAGCACCCGACGATCACCCGGATAGGTGATAAGTGGTTCAAGTTGTGGCGTATGCTCCCGGGACAGCGGGACGGCAGCGTGACATGGTACAATGATTTTACAAATGAAATGAAAGTCGCTGTCGGAGTCGAATTGCTTCCCGAAAGCCCCGCATTGTTCAGGCTGCCCAGTGGAGCAGGCGGAGGCTATGTGCATGTGGACGACATGCTGGCCGCAGGCCAGACCGAAAGGTTGCAGGTTCTTGAAAGTCACTTGAAGTCAAAGTTTAAAGTGTCTAGCGAGTGGATTGAGCACATAGGGGATCAAGTATCTTTCTTGAAAAGGCGCCACATCCTTGTAAGCCCCACCTTGCTAGTGATAGAGCCTGACATCAAATACCTTGATCGCCTCATGCAAGTCACCGGGTTAGCAAATGCAAAGGAAAGGTTCAAAGCAGCTCCGTTCCCGACCGGAGGTCTGCCCACCGAGCTTGAATCTGATCGTGAGCTAGATGCAGCCACTGCCAGCCGGTATCGCTCAGGTGTCGGTATCCTCGCTTATATGTCTTCAGACCTTGTGGCGTGCCAATTTGCGATTCGATACCTGACTACCTATTCTCACTCGCCCACAGAAGGATCATGGAAGTTGTTGCGGCACGTTGCATGGTACATCAATTGCCACCGCAACCATGTGATCGGGCTCTCGAAGCCTGTGTCTGGCAAGGGCCTCATCTGCGATAGGTCCCGCGAGGAGAATTCTACCGTGCTTGAAGTTTGTTCAGACTCAGACTGGAGCGGCTGCAAAAGGACAAGGAAGTCTGTGAGCTCTTGTGCGATTCTCTGGGACAACATGTTGCTATATGCACATAGCAAAACCCAGAAGACCATCAGCTTGAGCAGCGCAGAATCGGAGTACAATTCCCTTGTGTCCGCTGCAGCAGAAGGTATTTTCTTGTCAGCATGCATCCGGTTCCTCCTTCCTGAATACACGCTTGAGCAGATTTGCCTTGTAGACAACTACTCAGCATGTCGAGCCCTGGCGTGCCGACAAGGAGTTGGGAAAATGCGCCACATCAGTGGCAAGCTTCTTTGGCTTCAGCAAAAGACCAAGGACAATGTGCTGTCCGTAGGGCCGATCCCTACAGCTGAAAACGTGTCGGACCTCGGCACAAAGCCACTGAAGGCAGAGCGGATTGAGAAGCTGCTAGGCATGATTGGAATCAGATGCGCAGACAGCAGCTATGCTGTTGTTGGGGAGTCCTATCTCCTCTCGGCGCGAGACAAACTGCATGTCTCCCGAGTCGTCAAGCAAGGAGGGCTCAGTGCCCAGCAAATCATACAGGTTCTAGCAATGCTTCTCCAAGTTGATCGCGTCGCAAGTGCAAACGATGAGCCCAATACGCAAAATGCCGAGGACGCCTTGAGCCAGGACGACGACAATCTTGGAGTGTTTGCACAGATTCTTGAATGGTTTGTGTACATGTGTTACCTTGTGCACGATTTTGCACTTGAGCATCCGACCGGGATCATGCTGATCGTACAACTGCTGATCTTGATTATGTTGTGCTGCACACTGTCAAGTCGCAATCGCGTTGCAGTGTTGAGGCAGCAAGCTGAGAGTGAGCAAAGCAGTGCGGCGAGCAGCGGCACACCAACGCCGAGTGTTGCCGTGCACGTGAAAGTTGAAGGTTCCACGGTTTCGCTAGCTAGTCCCGAACCTGCCGGAAACCCTAAAGCTAGCCAGCCCACTGCAACTGGTGCCAGCGCGGCAGCGCATGCCGATGAGCGTTCCAGCGGCGCGAGAGCGCACGCCGATGATCATGATGTTCCGGACCCCAGCGCAAGCTCTTCAAATGCCAGTGTGATGCCGAAAGCAATGTCTTTCCCTCCTCCGAGGCATGTTATCGATGAGTTGAGGGCCGAGCAACTTGTGTGGGTTACCAAATCCAGAGGCAAGTCGTACCATCACAGGCGGACGTGCGGAACGCTTGCAAATGCAAAGGCACTTGAAAGGATCAGCAGACAGGAAGCCATCAATCGAGGCTTCAAGAAGTGCAAATGCTGTTACGGCAGTACTTGATAATGCTCATGATGCGCCAATCCTTGGGTTCACTGCTCTGGCATTGAGCCGATCGGTTGGATCTTGTACAAGGCCGCGAAACGACTGTACATAGACTTGTTGAGCAGAACTTGTCTCCACCATTTTGGTGGCAATACCACATCGACTTACCAACCACTGAGCCAGCTGTGGAGCAGCTGGGAGTCTTCATAGGTAGGCATCGTGCCACCTGATGCATATAGGCATCGCAATCTTACTGTGTGGATTCCATAGGATGCCAAAGTCTTGATGGGGCAGCTGCGAGCTGCATGCAACCCACTTGAATGATCCTTGTGTTACTTGTACGCCGAGCGCAAAACTTGAACCTTGGAAACGCCTTCGCTTGGGTGAGTCAAGCCTATCACTTCGTCGGCTGCGCCTAGCCTTCGGAAGTGATGTAACTAGTCGTAGATGTACAGTGCTACGTAGCAGTCTTAGTTGAGCCAACGACCCTTAGAGGCAGAGCTCGAGAACGCATAAACTTTCTCATGAGTGCAGTCGTGAACTAGTTGTATTTGTTTGAACAACGGAGAATCATAGTACAGAACCCATGCCAAGGCCATGAGAGTCTGTAGGCGGGGTGTTTATGATTTCTCCATGTTGCATACCGTATTTTGTGACACTTGTTTTATCGGTGATGCACTCAATTTCACGAGACCATGCAAATGACATGTCTATGATCCGCAGGCGTTCTTCAGAGTTGTAAAAGATTTTCACCTTTGCAACAGTTCCTGCAAAGTTTAGTGGACATTGGAGTATGACTTCATCGATTCTTCAGTGTCATGCAGTTAGCCACCCACCATAGTGTTCATAAGCAGCTCTGTGTGCTCCGTCATGTCTTCATGTAGATTTCTGCGCATGTACTTGTTTCATGCATGTTTTATAAGCTATGTTCGTGCTACATTTTGGCTCTAGTTGTGCTTGCTAGCAAGCATGTCAGAGATTTTCGAGATCCTCACCTTCCCACCCATTGCGATGCTGCACGTGGGATTCTCGTTCTGCTTTCAACTTACGGTTCTGTAGCGCACTTTCTGCTGTGATGCGGCATGCGCTTGGAAGTTGCATTGGTTTCACAGGCACTGGCCAGCTAAGAGTGCAAACAAGACCTCGAAAGAAGAAAATCATTGTGGTGCCTACGGGGCAGGCCGTAGGTTTCAACTTACCTCGTATCGTCCCGCAAGGTATGTGGTGTCAACACTTACACTTCTTCTCCTTATGCTTTCGTTTCAAAGCACCCGGGGAGACGATTTTCTGCGCCACGGCTCTTGAAGAGCTAAAGTTTGCTCCCAAGGAGCAATTTACCGCAGGATGTAGTGGAGTGTGTCTTGCTCGTTATACATGTTGGTGTTAAATTTAGCTTTGTGCTGGTCCGTGGCTTGACAAGGAGATTCACTCCTCATCCATTCTGACAGCGGGCTTGCCAGTATGTCATACGTTCTGATGTGCTTTCCTCTTAGAATGCCGATGTTCTTCCGTTGTTGCGGACGTAGTGACTGGCATGGGCCGTCATGCGTTAGCATGCTTTTACGTTTGCCCGCGCTCGTCCTTCGCACGTATGGCTCCTTCAATCTTGTTGTATCAATGCTGTCCTGCACTGTTGGTGGTTGTTCTTACTGTTCCTATGCCTAAGAATGCTGTCTTACGCTGTTGGTGGTTGTTCATACTGTTCCTATGCCGTCATAGAGTCATACGTCAGTCTGGGTTGCCGGGTGGGGGCTTTCATTCCACCCAGCAACTTTACTTTGTGTTTTGTGATCTGCTGTCCTTAGTCTCGGAGACTCGTGAGGCTTTTCGGCATTCCTTGGAAAAGGCGTCTTTCGCTTCTTTCTGAAGCCTTGTATTTAAAGCCTCCGGCTTTACCGCTAGCAAGCACAACTAGTTTATAGAACCCTGGAGGTCCAATCAGCACTGAGTCGTACGAGAGATACAGACGTGTGCTTGGGAAGCTCATGTGGGCCAGCCTCACGCTTCCTCACACCTTGCGTATCCCGTTGGATTTCTAGGACGTTTTCAGAGTGATCCTGACAGCCAAGCTGAAGCCTGTTTGAGAAGAGTTGTGCGTTGGGTGATGGCTCTGCCTGAGTACCTTCAGCGCTTCTCATCTTTTGGCTGGGTCGACAAGAGTTTTGAGTCAGAGACTTTGCTCTCGGGGTACGTGGATGCTTCGTGGAACGTGTGTTCCGTGTCGGGAGCCATTGTCCTTTGGCATGGGATGATGGTCAAGCGCTTCTCAAGAAAACAGTCGGTGACGGCCTTAAGCTCGGCGGAAGCAGAGCTGGCCGCGCTCACAGAAGCGGCTAAGGAAGCTGTCTACTTGTCTCTTTTGCTTGAAACGCTCCTTCAAGGCCTCCCTTCAGGTGACACGGGATCGTATCCCATTTACATATCTTCTGACAGTGAAGCTGCATTGTCAATTTCCAAAATGAAAGGCCTTCTGCGTCGAGTTCGGCATTTGGAGCTGAGGCATAGGTTTCTACAAGAACTTGTGCAGAGTGAGAGGCTGCACCTCACCTTCATCCAAGGATGCTTGAATCCGAGCGATGGGCTCACGAAGAGTCCTGAAGAAGCGATGCTCCAGCAGAGGAGGCTGCCCTGGGGCCGTCAGGTTCACCGGAAGTGCCCATCCAGCCAGCTGGCCTCCTCATAAATGCCTTGACTCGTGTGCGTGGGCGGGCAAACTCTTCGGGTCTTGATCTGCGCCAAGCGGCGACGTTTTGGATTCGAGAACAGCTACTCAAGAATGTTTAATATCCACCGCGCTTTTTCCGGCTTGCCAACTATGTCCTGCACGACCGTGGTGCGCAGCTCTTGCAGGCTGAACTCCGGGCTATCGATAGCCTTGACCAACGCCACCTGCGTTACGACACCCTCTATAGGATAGGCGGCCCCAATGCCATGGAGGACTGGAAGCAGGCACATGAGGCTTTCATGGCCGAAGGGGGGCTGGTAAATGGCTCTCCTATGCCTTTCCGTCTTATGACTTGCTTCCGCAGCCCAAAGCTCCCAACCAACGTGTTTACGACCGCCAGCATCTCAACTGGATGTACCAACAGCGGTTATATAATACGCTCTACTTGCTACGTGACCAGCATATGTATGATCCGGATGGCAGTTTTCGTGTCCTTCTGGATCAATGGCCGGAAGGTTCCTCGGTCGCACCAGGGGGACGGTCGGGGTCTTAGCTCGGCACTTTCACAGTTGCCCTTCTTGCATCCAATGGCTCGTCGCCTTGATGCCTACGATGCGCTCCGCGCTGGTGGGGTTGGATGGCAGCCGGTTGGTTCCTCCTGTCCCTGCTACATTGATAGCGTGTGCGTTGTGACAGGATGGACCACTATGTGCCTGCGGTGGCACTCTGGCCTGTCTTCCCGCTCGTTTCATTATGCATCAGCTGTGGAGGCCTCGGTCTGCAGCTTCATGGCCTATTTAGCCATCTTCGTGCTTCTTGCGTGAGGATTGGTCATGTCACTGTGCGCGGCAGTCCCTCCCACCGCTCTCTCTTCTGCTTCGCAGTGTTGGGACAGTGGATTTTTGGAGTTGAGTGTGCGCAGCCGGGACGGAACGGCAGGACTAGAATGGCTGCCGGAGCTTGGTCTTGGCTCCCCCCGCTGGCCGGGCAGCTTCGGGTGCCGACCCACGGTTGCTCCTGAACGCCTGCTGAGAATGCCGTAGCCCGGTAGTGTGCTGAACGGCTATTGTCGACCAAGTCTACAAGTCTACAAGCCGCAGCACTTTATCATAGGCGCCTCCTGTTTCACCGCTGTTTTCCGTTTGTTTGGTGTGTTCGCTAGTTGATTTAGGGACCGAGCGCAGCAGCCGAAGCCCGCCCAAGCCAAAAAACATACATTGCGGCGAAGGAACGGTTCCCGGGGGGCTGTCCGTTGTCCGACGGGACGAGAACGGCGGCCGCAGTCCCGACTTTGGACTCTTCGTTTCGAGCGACGGCTCGACCTGCTGCTGAGGTAGCGTGCTGAACGGTGTTGTTGATTGTTGACCTCGACAGATTCGTAGGTTTCGCTAGGGACTGAGCGCAGCAGCTGCCACCGACGCCCAAGCCAAAATGCACTGCAGAGGGCATGACGTGTCCGACAGGGTTTGATAGTCGCTGCCGCCCACCGCTGGGGCTTGTTGGCCACTGCTGAGCTTCATTCTTCACTGTGTGGCAGTAGATTTCTTATGATGCCCTTGGCAGACCTGTGGCTTCAGCCCCACGGTCGACCCGGTGCCGCAAATATCTGAAGCACAGGTGGAAGATGAGTTCTATCGCAGGTGGAGTGTTGGTGCGACCCTTGGTGGATGCAGTCTGTCTCCCTGCGCAAGCCGGCGGTGAACATGCTTCCAAGGGCAGCTACCCATCGCCCCTTAACTTCGCACTGACAACGCCACAGTGGCGGTGATGGAAATAGCGGAGGCGACGCTCTCGTCATATCGGCCCCGCCCCTTCCAGGGTCAGGACGCACCACCCAAGCGCGCCTATGCAGCTTTGCTTCAACCTCACACGAGGCAGCTTGTGGGCCCTCACATGCAGGTGGATAGACACAATCACGGTGCTTTTGTTGCAAACAGGGCGATGCGGCCTTTTTGGCTGCGTCGTTGCCTGGCTGGTTCTACCTGAACGCCATTGCGTCAGAAGTGGTATGTAAGCAAATCCTCCACTGCCATCATTGTCCACGTCAGTCACCCAGGCTCGCCACCGCTGAGACCCGTCCGTCTTTGGTTCCGTCCGTCTTTGGTTCTTTCGCTTGTCGTGAGTTTGTTGTTTTGGTCGACAGTGTTTTCGGTAAGTACTTGAGCTTGCATTGCTTCGCCCTGCACCGCACTGCTAGCTCAAGCTGTCGACCCGGATCGCTTCCGATGGTAGCTTTTTCATGCATTGCACTTGCTTAGCTTTACATGCAGCTTTACATGCAGCTTTCTACACAGCTTGAGTTTGCATGCATTCACTTTTGGTATTTTCTTGCGAGCTAGGCTTCTTTTGCTCCGCTCTGCTCCGCGCCATGGGTCGCCAAGGGCAGATCAAACGGCCGCGCGCCGAGCCCGCAGTCGCTTCTGCCAGCACCGCTGTGCACCCGCCCACACATGCTCAGCTCGTTGTGGCTCGCTGGGCCCTTTGGCGTCGTTCCCCAGGGTCTTTCGCTATGCCCAGCACTGCTTCTTGGATTGCATGCCTTGAGTCGGCGTGCTCAGCAGGTTTCTTGCTCAGCTTCCTCTGCTTCTTTGACTGCCAGTGCCTCGCTCAGCTTTGCGTCGCTTCGCACAGGCATCTTTGCACTTCTTGGGACGTCTCTCCTTCTTGCAGACGCATTCTGCTCAGCGTTGCTTTCCGCAATCGCACCCAGCCCGAGGTTTTCTGTTGGCGCTATCAACAAGCTAGGCCCTGCCCCATCAGCAATACCCCGCCTCGCTTGATTCTCGTCAGGCGTCGCCTGGCACTTTGGTCTTCATCGCCCCGCGTCTTCTTTCAGGCGGATTCGACTCTAAGCGTTTGCTGGTTTCAATTCAGAGTCGCGGGTTACTTCTTTAGTTGCTTCTGCATCGCTTCTTTCCGCAGCCTATCTTCAGCAAACAGAGACGCACGCAATGCTCTTAGCCAGCTGTACCATTTCACCCCAGCCGAGATTGCAGCCCTCGCTTAAGTCCCGCCCCGCCTCTGTTGTCATGTCCTCAGGGTCCGAATGGCTCCGTTACTCTGCTCAGGAACTGCTCCGCAACGCACCGGCTCCTGTTTGGCGCGCCGACGATAGCCCGCCCAGCACTGCATCGGTTTGGTCTAGCACGCCCAGCAGTCTCCGCAGCAGCGTGGTGGCAGCGGCATGTGCCAGAGCCGAAGCATCAGCCTCGCGCCGAGCTGAAGCTTGGCTTGCCTCGCAACGCACCGCCCACGCCGCAGCATCTCCTGCATCGCACAGCTCCAGTTTCGTGGACCTCGCCTTGGAGGAGGATACGCTACTGGATCGCCGCATTCTGCACCGCATCTGCTCTGCATCGCTACCTGAAGAGGTTCGGGCACTGCACTGCTGCTCCCAGACTCTCTGGGAGCAGTGGTTGGAGATACGGCAACGTGAGCATCTCTTTTTGTTCTGCGATTTTACCAGCAACGCACCGCCCTGCGCTGCCCTGTGGTACCGCAGGCCCCTGCTTCAGCTCGGCATCTCTTCTGTGCCGATTTATTCTTTGCGCGACGCACAGCCCAGCAACGCTGACGTCATGGTAGATTTTCTACCCGGCGGTTTTTTCCACCCATACGCAATCGCACCGCGCCGCAACTGTTGTGCCGCCAGCACTGTTTCACGCACAGCGCACTAGCACAGCACTGCTTTTGTGGTTTCTACATTGCATCGCAAAATCATTCTTGCCAGCATCCTTGTTGCATGTCGGTTTCAGCCTTAAGCCCAGCTTTTCTTTAAAGTGCCTCGCGTCTGCCAGGCACTTCTTCCTCGACTTCTGCATCAACCTTTGGCTCGCGGGCCTGCTGCTCATCGGTCGGGGCCGCCCCGCCTCAGTTTTGCAAACCCTCGCTTGGGTCGCGGCTGCACCGCCATGTCCTGCCTCAGGTCAATCAATCTCTGGGCGACATCCCCCTTTTCAGCACCGCTGGCTGCTTTCAGGAGCCGCCTGCCCTGCTCTTTTTTCTTGCTGCGCTCAGCCCGCCTGGATTCAGGTCCTACTTCGTCTTCTGCTTCGCGATCGCTTCGCCTAGCACTGTTTTCGGCAAGCTGCCCTGGTTGCCTCTGCCTCCTTTGCTTTTCCGTTTTTTGCTCAGGTCTGCACTTCTTCCTCTTTGAGCCCCGACGGTCTTGGCCTCAGCTCCCTGCATGCCTTGCTCTGCCTCGCATTTTTCAGCATTGGCTTGCCTACTTGGTGGATTCCCTCCGTGCTTTGGCTCAGCGGGCTACGCAAGGCTCGTCGCACAGCTTCTCGGCCAAGGACACATTTCGTCTCCAGCCCCGCTAGTGGCCCGAGCCTCTTAAGGCACAGCACTGCAGACAGCTCTGCTCCACTTCAGCTACGCATACTTAAGCACGCATCAGGTCACTTAACAGACTGACATTATCCCTTCTGTTTCTTTGCCCTGCACCGCTCTTGCATCATGTCTGGCTTGGGCGCTGCCTGGGTCGCACTCGCCTCTGCCACCAACGAGGAGTTGGTGGAATCTGCACAGCGCCTTTGGCTGCAAAGCCTCAGGCTCAGCGCCTGCCTTACGCACGGCGCTTACTTGGCCGAGATCGAGACGCACTGCAAAGGCAACAAGACGCCCCGCGAGCCCCTGAAAACTATTCCGGAACCCCCGGCCAGCTCTGCACCTTCTGACCCCCCTGCACAGCCAACGCCTGATCCCGCACCAGCACCGCAGGCTGCTCCTGCGGCCACAGCCACACCTGAGCCTGCTGTTGCTCAGCCTTCCCCCGCGCCCGCCGCTTTTTCTGACCCTCGCGGCACCTATCCCCCAGCACCGCCACCGCAGGCCAAGAGCTCAGTGCCTGTGAAAGCAATGCCTGCATACCCGCCTGGAGCATTCTACTTGACACCAGTGGGAGACCAGTTTTTCGCAGCCCCACATCCTGCACCATCCGCCGGCCCCGCAACTCAGTCTTGGGCCGATATGTCGGGTCCCGCACAACAGCAACCGCTTGACTTTGTCAACCC